TTATCTCTGTTATAATAAATTGAGGATTAAAATTTTTAGACTATTGAAGTGTGCTAATTGCATTTTCTTAAAAAAAAAAAAAAAAGCTTTTCTTTTTCTGTTTCTTCCCCCATAGGTTTAGGCTTCAGTATTGCAGGAGGTGTGGGGAACCAGCACATTCCTGGAGACAACAGCATTTATGTAACTAAAATCATAGATGGAGGAGCTGCACAAAAGGATGGGAGGTTGCAAGTAGGAGACAGACTACTCATGGTGAGTGTGACTCAAGCAAAACTATGTGCATATTTATAAAGCTCCTTTTCCAGTGTAGGAATGTTGGTTGGTTCAGGCTGTCATAACAAAATACCATAGACTAGGTGGCTTAAACAACAAATATATTATCTCATAGTTCTTAAAACTGGGAAGTTCAAGATCAAGATTCTGGCCCATTCAGTGTCTGATGAGATCTCTTTTCTTGGCTTGAAGACATCTCTCTTCTCTGCGTGTCCTCACATGGCCTTTCTCGATGCTTGTGCTGAGAGATCTCTCTGTTGCTCTTTCTCGTCTTCCTTCCACCAGAATACAGCTCCACCCTTAACTCATTTAATTAATAACCTTGATTACCTCCTAAACACCCTATCTCCAAATACAGTGATATTAGCAGTCAGAACTTCAACATATGAATTTGCAGGGAAGGGACACAATCCACTCCAGAGCAGTGATCATGGGCAGAAATAGAAAAGAAGGGAGCACATATTTTGTGGTAAGAGATCTCAAAAGTACACATATAATTTTATCTGACTTGTTGACATTTTAAAAACAGAAATCTAAATTATCATAGATAGGCAAGGCACAGAGATTTTAGGTTGTTTTTCCAACACAATCCATCTCCTATTAGAAGGGAAGCTGGTAAAGCAGAACTACTAGAGAGTTGGGCTTTGCATAACAAAGGGAACTGCCTGGTGTACTGATAAATACATTATTATATCTCTCTGTGGTCCATTGTTCAATCAGTGTAGACTCAGTCCCTACCTTCCAAGAATTCACATGTGTGAATGGATCCCTTCCTCCTCTCCCCTCAGACAGCGTTACAGCTATTTTATTTGCCAGCTGCCCACATGCTTCAGGGGCCCTGCAAATGATTGATACCAACACATGGCCACCCTTCTAAGCCCTGGGGTGATATGCTAAACTAAGGCAACATCAGACAATGATAAGTAGTGAAACAGTTGAGATTTCACTTAATAAAACTACTTCATGTCCATTGACTCTTTTATATCAAATCTATATGATAATAATCAAATACTGAAAATTAATAGAAGATAGCTCTCAAGTGAGATAAGTATATGTAGTCTATGTCTGCCCTTGACAATAGAGCCTCTAATATATGTCTGTAAGGAGCCATTGTCTCCAACACTTTTGTGAGAAGTGTTTGGGAAGGACCAATATATACAGTCTCCTCAGAATAGTAAATTCTAAGACAGGTGCAAGTTTGTAGGTTGAACCTCAAAGTTCATTGTGCCCACTTTTGTGTTCTAGACATCTTGTCTTTAGTCTCACTCTAACTTCATAGTTGTCAGTGACTTTTGTATTGAATTATTTAGACAAGACCTTTATAATATTCTATTTTAAACTTTATTATTGATTTTGTAGAGAAGAAGGGAAAGGGGGCGGGAGAGATTGATTGCCTCCCACGCATGCCCCAACCAGGATTGAACATGAAACCTGTGTATATGCCCTGACCAAAAATCAAACCCACAACCTTTGGTGTACAGGATGATGCGCCAACCAACTGAACCACACCAGCCAGGGCTATAGTATTCTTGATATTTATTTGGCTTTAACTACTTTCCAAGTACTTTTATCAGTGCTTTTCGAATGGCTTATTTTATATAAGCAAAAGGAAATGGAAGTATAGAGAGACTTACTTGCTAACTGGTCATATAGTTAACAATGGGCAGAACTGGGTTTCAAATCCAGTCAGTCTGGCTTGCATCCATGCTTAAAACCACTAAGCATGGTCTTTGCATTTGTTTCCTAGAATTTGTCAGTCAGTTCTTTCCTTCCTTTAGTTATCATTCAGTCATTTCATTAATTCCTTTGTTTAACAAGTAATATATTGAACACCTTTGATTTCCCAGCAATAGCCAGTATTCAGAAAGCAACTCTGGCAGGAAAAACATATGGCCAAAAAAAAATTTTAAAAAATGTAGCATTATGACTTTAGTCAAATTTGCAGCTACAAGTTTTTGGCTTTTTTACTACCTGAAGTTAGTATCATTTTATTTTCTTTTTTTAAAACCACTTTATTGAGGTATGGTTGGCATGTAAAACTGTACACATTTTATGAACACACTCCATGAGTTTAGGGATAGGTTATACACTCATGAAAATACCACCATCATTAAGGCTATACATATATCCATTACCTCCCAAAGTTTTCTCTACCCCTGTAATTGTTATTGTTATTACTGTTATTATTACTATTCTTATTAATATAATAATTATTATTTGTGTATATATGTGTTAAGAACACTTAACATAAGATCTAGCCTAAGTATATTTTAAATATATAATATAGGCACTATACTTAATAATAGAACTACCATTTTTATTCTTAATACTTTCTGAATTTTCTTGTTTGTTTGCTTTGTTTTATTGCCTTTCATGTAAGAGCTGGTTCTTATGAAGTTGTGTCTTTTGAACCAGAACAGTGTTTTGGGGATGGAGGCCCTAATAAATTCATTTCAAGAATATAAACTTTATTGTTTGTTGTCTTGGGAGTGAAATAAACTGAGAAATCCATCTCCTACATAGTGCTGAATTGAAATGAAGAGGACAGTGTCATTCTAAAGTAATGACTGACATAGATGGTTATGATGTGACCCAGGACTCATCATTCTTCTATAAGAGTTTGGTTGTAGACAACTCTTCCGGTATTTCTTCAACCACTGCTATTGAAATATCATTCTAGATGTTGTGTGCTGATTTCTTAGGGTCCCATTTAAATTTCTAGCTTTATTTTCAAATTCTTATAAAAACTTGAAGTCTAAATAATTCTGTCAAAGCATTTTCCAGGCAGCATGCTATTATCTTATTATAATTTTCTCAATATTCATTGTAGATACAATGATTTCAAAAATAGCTGTGACATAATCCTTAACTTATTGAGTGTTAAATAAAGAATAGCTTTTTAAAAAAATGAACCTTCAATAATAATAGGCCTCTCCTCTCTTATGTAAGGAAAACCTAATTATTACTTCCAAGGCAACTGTCAGGCTGAATTTGGAAATGAAAGAAAATGATTCATTTTATAATATTCTGAACGAAAAATTACCATGAGGGAGAGAATAAAGAAAATAATCATGGGAGCTACCCCAAAAGACCAATTATCTTATTTCACCCCAAAAATATGTATTAATGCCCTCCCTCTGTCATTTCTTTCCACCTCCTCTTCCCTTTACTACCCTACATTCAGGTCTTTTTATATTCCTCATCTGCTGCTCTCCTCCCTCAAAAGAAATATGAATAATTTAGGTTCTGTGATTTATCACCTGAACCACACTCTATAGTTCTCTCTAAATAGCTATTCTTTTTTCTAAAGTAATTTGTACCACTTCTTAGGAAAAATCCTCCTTATATTATTCATTCATATTTCTGTAAAGTAAACTGATCTGAAATAAATCTCCTTTCATTTCTTTGGACTTTTGTGGCTGGATCACTGCACTTCAGAAAGTCTCACAACATCTGCCCTTCAGTGAAAGCAATGAAACCACAGTGCTTAGAACTACTCTTTTTTATTTTATTTATTTTTTTAAAATATATTTTATTGATTTTTTACAGAGAGAGATAGAGAGTTAGAAACATCAGTGAGAGAGGAACATCGATCAGCTGCCTCCTGCACACCTCCTACTGGGGATGTGCCTGCAACCCAGGTACATGCCCTTGACCGGAATCGAACCCGGGACCTTTCAGTCCCACGGCTGATGCTCTATCCACTGAGCCAAACCGGTTTCGGCAAACTACTCTTTTTTAGACTCTTAGCAATAACCCTTCCAGTTTCTGTACTGAAACAGCTGAATTATACCATATTTATTGGGTACATTTTTTTCCTTATGTACTTGATACATCTCAGAAATGACATTTCTATTTTAGATATTATCTTGTTCCAGCTCTTTTTGGGACATCAGATTCCCACAGAAAAGTAGGAAGTAGTCTCTCACCTTTGCTAGAACATGCTAAGGATGGAGAACTTAATGCCTCCTATAAGCTATTCATTATTATATATTGACTGTCATTAGCAATTTTTCCTTAAAATTACATCAAAATATATGTACCTATACATTTCTGTCTTTATTCATAGTCCTGTCCCTTGAAAAGATGAATACTAATTTCTCACCCACATTTGTTTGAAAAATTATATCTGTCACTTCTTCTCAGTTTTTTAAGATGTTTTACACATTTTTCTCTCACTCTTGCCATAACTTTTCCACACCTACTTATCTGTATATATAAAAGCCTAAGCAACCAGCCAGTAGCTATGACTTGCACTGACCACTAGGGGGCAGATGCTCAAAACAGAAGCTTCCAAGTGACAACTTTGCAGGGTGCCCGCTCACACTCCAGGACCCCTCCGGGAATATCAGACTGCCGGTTTTGGCCTGATCTCCACAGACCAGGCTGAGGGACCCCACCTGCTGGAGGGACTCCGCTTACTCTGCAGATGCCCTTCGAGCCCAGCACTGCCCCAGGTGCAGCCAGCCAGGGAGGAACTGCTGGAAGTTGGCTCCAGGGTGTATCTGGCCCATTGCGTCCAGTCCTACCCCATCAGACACCTTCTAATTAATTTACTTTAATGTGCATGAATCCATGCACCAGGCCTCTAGTCTTCTATAAGTAGATTACCCATTTAACAAGACATTTTTTTCTTTCTTAATATGTTATTCCCCCATCTGATCTTTACATTATTCACTATAAGAAAAAATTATCCTGCCTGCCACATATGCAATAAGCTTCTTAGTTTTTCAGATAAGATAAGTGTTTAATGTCAGATCTCTCTGCTGTTTCATGGGTCAACCAGATATTCTCTTATCAAAATAATAATTTTTAAATTTTTTCTGCTGCTTGACACTAATCATTCACTAGAATATTGCTTTGCTTATTTTGTCAAATGACAGTGACATCTGATTTTTGCACATTATACCAGTAGCTTCATTTTGAATAGATTATCTCCTAGCCCTGAACTTTATGGGACAGATGATCAGAAGTGAACA